ATATATATATATACACACACACACACACACTTCTGTTGAGGATAGAATCTGTTTGTCTCCTTTCCTTCATCTCTAACTTCGAGCTGCTGGCTGTAGCTATCCCCTTTTATAATTTTCAGCCTACTGAAGTAGACTGAATGATGACTACAAACAATGTAGGTCCACATTCTAAGTCTCAAAATCTGTGATTATCAATTTATATGAGAAAAGATGTAATTAAATCAAACATCTTGAGAGGAAAATTTATCCTGGACTATTTCTAAGTATAACCACGTTTGTAAGATGGTCTCTCAGAGGAAAAGAGACATAGAAGAGGAAGGGAATGAGACAACGAGGCAGTAATGTGACCGTGGAGGCAGACATTGAGAAGTGGTGAGGCCACAAGCCAAGGAATGCCAAGGAGCAGCCCCTAGAAACTGGGAGAAACAAATGATAGATTCACCCCCAGAGTCTCCAGAAGTGCAGTTCTGTAGACACTTTGGTTTTAAGAAACAGCAGCAACAGGAACAAGTACATCTACCCACCCACATTCTTCACTTGAACATGTAACTTTTCTGTTTTCAATCTCTTGTGGTGATTTTTATATTTTCATGATTTTATATAGTCTAAGATAATGACTCCTAACTCTATGGCTAAAATTTTCCCTGTATTGCAAACTCATGTTTTCAATAACAATGCTTTTCTCCTAAAACCTTGATAGCAATATTGCCTTAATTTCCCACTCTCCTCTCCATTCCCTATCAGCCTACCAGACACGAATACACACCAAAAAACCACACATAAACATTGTATTTTCAACTCTGTTCTAAATCTTGGGTAAAGACAATTTCATCCTTCAGGTTGACAAAACGTGCTGTTAGTTTCTATCTGTCTCTTTCTCATTTGTCACTTGTATTGAATCAACCATCTGCTGACTCTACTTTGCTAATGCCTCTGCTATGTTTCTTTCACTCCATTTCTAATATAATAATTTGAGAATATAGTACTTGGCACCTAAGTAATTACAAAAGAGGCTGTAGTAATATCCATCCCTGGCTCCAGAATCTCACTTGCTTCAATTCTTCAAGTATATGTTCACCAGAGTAAATTCTGTTAATTTGTCCACACTTATTTCCCCATCTGCAATATTTCCCATCGACATGTAATCTACCCTTCTAGGCGTCCTTTAATGAAAAATTGCTTAATCTCTGAAGACTACTTCCACTTCAAAGATGGAAAAAATTATGGACACTGTATATTTTAACACCATATCAATTGATGCTAAACATTGTGACACAGATGTGTCAAATATGATAATGGTTGCCTATGGTGGACAGTGTTCGTTGGAGCTCCTTGATTAAAACACACTTGGAAGCAGGAGTGGTATCCATTTCCGAAATAGCTTGCTTCCAGAAACTCTATGGACTTTGAGAAATGATGAAAGTTATACAGTTTTTCAGGTCTTTTGTTCATAGGGTCACTATGAGTCGTCTATGACTCAACAGCACCTAACAGCAACATATCACATCAATATTTAATATTCTGTGAATTTATATTCCATTTCTTGAACTTAACATAGGACAGAATCAGGCAAAAAACTAAGAAAGTTTGTGTGTTTACACCAGGTTGAGAGGTTTAAGATTTTATTCTCTTGTCAAGAAGACAAGAAACCTGGATATTTTTGTTGAAGAAATGGCTAGCTGTGAAATGCACTTTAGGAGACTTACCTAATAATGAAGAGAATGATTTTATAGCATAAAGGGCTTGGAAACCTCCAAAACTAAATTTAAACCATCTCACTGTCTATTCAGCTTAAGAATTAGGTTTCTCATCTTTAAGTGGGAATAATATTTCCTGTTCCTGACTATAACTTTGATGTTGTTGTTATGTGCCGTCGAGTCGTTTGCAACTCATAGCGACCCTATGTACAACAGCCCTAAACTCTGCTCTGTACTGTGCCAAGAGCACTGTCTCTGACATTCCCATCCCGATTATCCCAGTCACTGAATCAATCCACCTAATAGAGGGCCTTCCCCTCCTGCACTATCCCTCCACCCTCCCAAGCATGATGTCCTTCTCCAAGGACCGGTCTCTCCTCACAACATGTCCAAAGTATGTTAGATGGAGCCTCAGAATCCTTGCCTCTAAGGATCCACCTGGTTTAACCCTTTTCAGGATGAATCTGTTTGCTTTCCTAGCAGCCCATGGTATTCTCAATAATATTCTCCAGCACCACAGCTCAAAGACATCAATTCTCCTTCTATTCTCCTTGGTCCAACTCTCTGATGCATAACAAGTGATTGTGAAGACCATGGCCTGTATCAAACAAACCTTAGTCTCAGAGAGACACCATTGCTCTTCAGTACTTTGGAGAGGTCCCTAACAGCAGACTTTCCCATGGCAATGCACCTTTTAATTTCCTGGCTACTGGTGCCAAGAGTGTTGACTGTGGAGCCAAGCAAACTAAAACTGTGTACAATCTCAATCTCTTCACCATCCATCCTGATGCTGCCAATTGGCCCAGTGGTGAGAATCTTTGTCTTCTTGACATTGAGCCTCAAGCCATATTGAAGGCTGCAGTCCTTGACCCTCTGCAGCAGGTGCTTCAGGTCCTCTTCAGTTTCAGCAAGCAGGGTTGTGTCATCTGCATAACGTAGATTGTTGGTAAATCGTCCACCAATCTTGACCCCACATTCCTCCTCATAGAGCCCAGCCTACCAGATAATCTGTTCTGCATATAGGTTGAAAACGTATGGAGATAGGATGCATCCCTGGCATATGCCCTTCCCAATTTTGAACCATGCAGTGTTCCCTTGCTTGTTCTGATGACTGCCTCCTGGTCCAAGTATAGGTTTCGCATTAGCACGATCAAGTGTTCTGGGATCCCCATTCTTCTCAGAGTCAGCCACATTCATCCTCATAAAGCCCAGTCTCCAGAATTATTTGCTTGGCAATAGATTGAAAAGGTATGGAAACAGGATGCATCCCTTACACACTTCTTTCCTGATTTTGAACCATGCAGTGTTTCCTTGCTCTGTTCTGAGGACTGCTTCCTGGCCCAAATATAGGTTTCACATAAGCACAATCAAGCGTTCTCGGATTCCCATTCTCTTCAAGATAAATCATAATTTGTTGTAATCCACAAAGTCAAATGTCATTGCATAGTCAATGAAACACAGATTGATATTCCTCTGGTACTCTGCTTTCTGCCAAGATCTTTCTGATATTGGCGATAATGTCTCTAGTGTCATGATCTCTTCTAAACCCAGCTTATATTTCTGATAGTTCTCTGTCAATGTACTGTTCAAGTTGTTTCTGCCGGCTTTTGCTTGCATGTGATATTAGTGATATTGCTCAATAATTTCCACTCTATCGGTCACCTTTTTATGGAATGGGAATAAATATGGATCTCTTTCTGTCAGTTGGCCAGGTAATTATCCTCCAGATTTATTGGCACAACCTGATAAGCACATCCAGGGCAGCACCTGTTTATTGAAATATGTCAATGGATATCCCATCAATTCTTGGGTCCTTGTTTTTTTGCCAAGTCCTTCAGAGCAGCCTGCATTTCCTCCTTCATCACTATTGCCTCTTGATCATATGTTGTTTCATTAATTCTTCTTATTTCTTTTTACAGCGACTCTGTATATTCCTTCCATCTTCTTTTAATGCTTCCTGGGTCATTCAATATTCTGCCCATTGCACCCTTAAGTATTGTGACTTAAGGCTTGAATTTCTTTAGTTCCTTCAGCATAAGAAATGCCAAGCGAGTTCAGTCCTTTTTATTTTCAGACTTCAGCTCTTTGCATAATACTTTTGCTTTGTCTTCCTGACCTGCCCTTTGAAATCTATTCAGCTCCTTACTTC